CTCCTTCCCGGGGCTCCTCTTCTCAAAGGCCCCCTCCCCCTGGCAGCCCCCCACCACATGCTCAAGAGGACCTGCGCCGGGCCCCCCAAGTCCCAAAGAACCCCATCTCTGCTTCCCAAGACAAAGGGCCCGGAAGGGGGCCGAACCCACGGGCCACACCGGGGCGTCCTCCCCGACAGCCCCCCAGACTCAGCCTGGACCCCCACCCGCCCCCCGTCCGGGCCCGTTCTCGGAACCAGAGGCAGCACCAGCCTCGGGGGGGCGGCCGTGGCCCCCGACCACCACAACACCTCTTTGTGGACCAGCCTGGGCTTCGTGGCCCCGCCGAGCCGGACATCTGGCTGCTACACCGGGGTAGCCCTGTTCCCTTGCACCCGGCGGGGCAACGGTCCCAGGCGGAGCCCCCCCAGTGGAACCTCTACGCCCCCGGCACCGAGACCTTCCACTGCCAGGGGGAGAGCAGGCAGTTCAGAGCGTGCAGGCAAGAGGTGAGCCCCCGGGGCCCATGGTCCACAGCCAGGTGTCGTCCTGGGAACGGATCTGCAGGTTGGGCCAAGCGATAGTTTCGGGAACAAAATACGGGCAGTCCTCGCCTTAGCGCCATCCATTTAGCGACCGTCTGAAGGTTCGACGGCGCTTGCAGGAGGAGGTTCAGCCAGCTGGGGTGGGGGTGGGGGGGGAGAGAGATTCCTTTGCTTGGTGAACTGTAAATAAATTAAAACGGAAGCAGAAAAGTGTACATTTTTTTTTTAGTGTACACTTTTGTGTACATCCTGGGAAGCTGCTTCTCTTCCAGGCTTCTCTTGGCCAGCGTTTTGGCGTTGCAGGAGGGGTGTAAGGTCGCTGGGCCTTTGGAGTGGACAGCTGACCTGTCCTTGACTGAACTTCCCTGCTCCCGGTGTTCTGAACAACAACAGGCTTTCCGTGTTTACACAACAGACCCACAATGCCAAATTCCAAACGCTGGGGACGGAGAGCCAGGAAAAGGGTTTGGTCCTGACTCCTGTCAATGCCTTCACCAAGCACACAAAAATCTTTTCTAAATTGGCGCTGGCCGGGTCCCCTCCTTACCCCTGAGAGGGCTGTTGGGGTGATGGGTGGGGGTCCCGCTTCAGGGGTGGGTGGGACACGTGCCGCCACGCCCAGAGGGGGTATTGCAGGCTGAGTGGGGAAGGAGAGGAGGCCATGTGTGCAAACTTCGGCTTCCTTCCTCTTCCGCAGCCGTGTCCTCCGGACCGCCCTGACCCCCGAGCTGTCCAGTGTGCTGCCTACAACAGCCAGGAGTTCATGGGCCGCTTCTACCAGTGGGAGCCCTTCACGGAAGGTGAGTAGCTTCTCCACCCTGTCTCTGGCCAGCGGGCTGGGAAAGGGGTCTTCCCCTCCCCTCTGTTGCTGATTCTGGTGGCGGTGAGTTCCACAAGAACCCCTCTGTACTGTTTTGGCGCTTTAGTTCAGGCGCTGCATCATCCCAGGAGAAGACAGGGATGGCCTAAGATGGTTTTTCTCCATCTCCCCCCCCCAGGGGAGGGGGTTAGAGACAGCATCTTACACAGGAGCTTAAGCTTATGCAGGACCCCCACACACACACTCCTGTCCCTTATGGCGTGGGGGGGGGGCGGGGAACCATGGTCCTTTTATGACTTGTGGACTTCCAACTCCCAGAACTTTTGGCTGAGGAATTCTGGGAGTTGAAGTCCACCAGGCATAATGGGGGCATAGCCCCCCACCCCTGCCTTATAGGGACCCCCCCTTTCCTTGTCCAGATGTGCCATCTCAGGGCGGACAATGTAGCTGTGTGGTGCTGGCGCCCTCTGCTGGCAAGGGCTGGGATTGCCCGTGATTGCGATTCAATATTTTCCAACCAAAGGATTGAGAGAAAGAGAGAAAGAGAAAAAGAAAGAAAGAGAGAGAGAGACAGACTTGGGGGCGGGGGAAGGAGTATGTGCAATTGGCAGAGGATCCTGATTCCCATCTTCCTGGGCGTTTCCTAGTATGGGGCTCCCAGCGCTGTGAGCTGAACTGCCGCCCTCTGGGCTACCGCTTTTACGTCCGCCACACGGAGAAAGTGCAGGACGGCACCCCGTGCGAGTCCTTGTCCCAGGACATCTGCGTGGCCGGGCAGTGCCTCGTGAGTAGCTCGGCTTTTGGGGTACGGAGAAGGGGTCCCCCCCTTGCAAGGCAAGGCCAGCCGGGCACTGTTCGGAAGGGCACTTTGGGGAGGGGGGTGGTGAAGGATCCCCTTCAGAGACCCTCGGAGGTCTATTTCTGGCCCCACCCCATGCCTCCTTTCTCGTTGGACCTGCAGACCCCCGGCTGCGACGGGATCCTGGGTTCGAATCGCACCCTGGACAAGTGTGGCGTGTGCGGCGGAGACCACACCACCTGCAAACTGGTGGCGGGCAACTACAGCGAGACCAGCATCCCCATCGGCTACCACCGCATCTTGCAGATCCCGGTGGGAGCCACCCAGATCCAGGTCCGGGAAATGGCCCGCAGTCCCAACTATTTGGGTATGTCCAAGAGGGAGGATAATCTGCGGTTACGCCGAATTATTCCCAGATGTTTGCTCCCTGCTCTCTTGAGGCCAGATCCGGCCGGTCTCTGGGATGGGGGCTCCTGGCGTTGCCCGGCTGGCTTGGCCAGAAGGAGCGTCCAAGGTCACTGGGGCTGGGCATGGGATGACACGAGCCCCCTTCCTCCCCCAGCCCTTCGTACCCAGAGTGGCAAGTCGATCATCAACGGAAACTGGGCGGTGAACCGTCCGGGGCGCTACGAGGCGGCGGGCACGGTCTTCGTCTATAGTGACCAGGAGGAGGGCGAGCTCCTGACGGCCGACGGACCCACCACCAAGGCCGTAGAACTGTATGTGAGTAGGGAGGGGCGCTCCGGATGGCCTGACCGCTTGAGATTTCGGGGTTCGTGTGGCACGAGGTCTTCCTGGGCGGAAAGGTGGAAAAGAAGCGAGGACGGGGCGAGTAGGTGCCACTTTCCTTGCCCCCCCTGCAGATGATCTTCCAGCAAGACAACCCCGGGGTGTCGTACCAGTTCTTCCTGGCTCAGCCGGGGGACCCCCAGACCCGCCCTCGCCGGCCTCAGGAGGAGTTGGGTGAGCAGCTTCTCCCCCTTTGGGTCTGAGTTCAAGTCTGCCCTCACCTGGACCTCTCCAGCTCTGCAATTCTTTCAGGAGAGGGCTAGGGGTTGGGACTGGGGCTGAGATAAATCCTGGGCTTTTAAGTGTAGTGGGACACTGGAACAAAATTCTCCTAGTTGTCCTGCTTAGCAACAGAAAGGTTGGCCTCAATTGTGGACGTAACTCAAGGACTGCCTCAGCTTCTAACTAAACCTCCTCCCTCTTTCCAGGCGCTTCAACCGCGGTGGAGCCTCCCGCAGGCCAGGCAGGTCGGCTGCCTTCGGCCTCCAGACGGAGCCCGGTTTCCGCCCAGCTTCCCTCCAGCCTGTGGGGCAGCCCCCGTGACATGCCTGCCCCTCCTGCCTCGGCCAGCCAGTCCCGGAGGAGCCTGGAGACTCTGCAGCGCAGCGCCCGGGTCCCACCCCTGCCGCCTCCCCCACCCCTCGTCCGGCACCCCTCCGAACCCGGCCAGGACTTTCACTGGAGGCGCTTCGGCAACACGGAGTGCTCCGCCTCCTGCGGGAAGGGTAAGTCAGGGCTGCCCTTTCTGCCAATTCCTAGGCAGGTAGACTGCTGCTGAGCAGGGAGGTTTACCTTTTGCTCCAAGCTGCCTAACCCATCTCTTTTGGATGAGGAGGATGAGGATTTAAGATTAGCCTGTCTGAAACTCAGGGCAAAAATGGAACCTGCTGTGCTTGTTGCATCAACCGCGTGGAGAGACAAGGGGTTGCAGAGACACCCCCCAAAAAAAGTTTTGCTTTGAGTGCTTTTTGAGGCCCCTGACCAACCCTCCACCCCGCTCCCCTCAATGTGACGTTTTGCAGCCCTCCTTTTTTTCCAGGTTTCTGGCAGTCCGTCTACCGCTGCGCCTCTCGCCTTTCCCAGGAGGAAGTGGGGGAAGAAAAATGCCACCTGCTCCCCAAACCATTTGCCCAGGACGAGGTCTGCAACACGGAGCCCTGCCCGGCCTTGTAAGCCACCACTCCTTCTCTCTGGGGGGCTTTGAGGAGGGCTCAGCCCCCTCCCCCTTTGCCTTCTCTCCCGGTTGGGTTCGGGTTCAGCTCCGGAGTGCCGAGGGGGCGTCTTCCTCACCCTCCGGTCTATCCAGTGGCCGGAGGGTCTGTGGCCGAGAGATCTGCCAAGGCTTTTAGATGGGGGGCAATTTGAGTAAGGGTCTTTTGAGCACACCGGTGGGATCTCACTTTGCGGCCACCCTGCGAGGCTGGATCAGCCGCTGCTGGTCTGGGAACGTTTGCCCATCCCTGGGAAGATTTTATCCTTTTGCACCAAGCTGGAATTGGTGAGCCACGGAATCTGTTCCCGGGCGCGGGAAGCATTCTGCCCTGAATTGTTTTTCCCGCTGGTTAAGACGCGCTGGGTGCCAGGAGGCCCAAGGAAACCGGGTTACTACGTTGTTTTCAAAACGTGCGACTGCTCTTCTGAGCAAGCCCCCATGTTTGCTCCGCGCTCACCACTCCTTGTCTGTTCCAGCTGGGACGCGGGCGAGTGGTCGGCCTGCAGCAGATCCTGCGGGCCGGGAACCCAGCACCGCCAGGTCCTTTGCCGGCAGATCTACGCCAACCGCACCACCATGGTGCACCCCCAGCGCTGCAGCCAGCTGGAGAAGCCGAGCGCCACCCAGGAGTGCCAAGTGCATGTCTGCAGCCACTGGGAGATCCAGACCAACTGGAGCTCGGTGAGGCAGAGGGAGCGGGCAGAGGAGGGTGCCGGGGGGGGGGGTGCTGCCCAGGGGGGGGGTTGCTGCCCAGGGGGGGGTTGCTGCCCAGCGGGCAGAGGAGGGTGCCGGGGGGGGTTGCTGCCCAGCCAGGGGGGGGTTTGCTGCCCAGCCCCCCCCAGCCCAGCTGTTGCTGCCCAGCAGAGGAGGGTGCCGGGGGGGGGGGTTGCTGCCTACCCAATTGTGCCACTGGCGAGCATGGCACAATTTTTTCCACGGGGAGAAATATCTCCAGAGCAAGGAAAAAATGTATTTATTTTCCAAGGGCAGGATTCTACCCCCGTGGTCAACGTGGCCCTGCCTGCCACCCCAGAGCTAATACAATTTCCAAACTAGTGTTTGCATCCCCATTTCTCCCCTTCCCCCCCCCCCAGTGCAAACTGGACGTTGTCAGGATCGCTGCGCTCTGCCTTTGGCCGCAAGAAATGCGAGAATGTGCAGAGTTTTGGGGTTGCGCCCCTTAATGCCAAGGCTTTCGGCCTCTCTGCTCCTTTTCTTTTCCCCCCCTGCTCCAGTGCTCCGTCCTTTGTGGCACAGGCCACCGGACCCGCCACGTGCGCTGTGTCAGTAACCACGGAGAGCTCTTGAGGGACAGCGACTGTCCGGACAACCCCCGGCCCCAGGCCAGCGAGGCTTGCAACATGGGTCCTTGTGTGCGGAGCTGGTTTTACAGTGACTGGAGCAACACAGTAAGAATAAGTCTGGGGCAGCCCCGACCCCTTTTCTCCCCCCCTCTCCAGTTTTCAGACCTTTCTGAAGATAGTCAGAACTTCTATATCCTCCTTCCACATCTTGCTGCAGCTTTCTCTGTCTTTCCCGCCGCTGGACTCCGGAAAAATGGGAAAATAACCAACGGAAAGGGACGCGTGTAATTCCTACTGTTCTCTTTCAGTGCTCGGCTGACTGTGGCACCGGCATCCAGCGCCGTTCGGTCGTCTGTCTCTCCAGCAACGCTGACGGACAGGCGGATGAAGACTGTGCCAGTCCCAAGCCAGCCGACATGAGGGCTTGCGACGGTGGGCCGTGCCAGCGGGTGGCTCGCTGGTACAATGGCCCCTGGAGCTCGGTAAGGGCTGGCTGAGTTTTCCTGGGGTTTGACCCTCCGTCCAGCTTCTCTTGGCACTCACACTGCCGTGGCGAAGGCCAGAAGTGGCCTCCCTTGCTGGAAATGTTGAGGGCGGGGCTTCTTGCCACCCCTCAGACACCCCTGCTCTTTTCTCTCCCTGGGTGACCCCTGCCCTCCCTCCCCAGTGCTCGGTCGAGTGCGGCCACGGCACCCAGAGGCGCGACGTCATCTGTGTGGGCAAACAGGGGACGCAGTTCAACGTGACGGCGGCCTCCGAGTGCGCCCACTTGGAGAAGCCACCTTCTCTCCAGCCGTGTGTCGGGACGGACTGCGAGGCCCGTTGGTTTTCCACCTCCTGGAGCACAGTGAGTGGGGGGGGGACAGACTTTTTTTTGGGGGGGGACGAAACCTCTTGTATGCCAAGATACGGAACCCGTCTCCATCCAGACCGGTTTCCCAGCTCAGGAAAAGCTCCACGCAGCCCCAAGCTTTGATTTACGTTGGGACCGATCCTCAAATAATCCATGAAGGATGCAGAACCAGGGAATGGGGGGGAGGAGCTTGACCCCTCCCCCAATGTTTTCTTTTGCCCCCGCAGTGCTCCAGATCCTGCATGGGGGGCATCCAGGCGAGAGAAGTCCAGTGTCTGACCCAGAATAAGACCCTGAGCGCTCTCTGCCCCCTCCACATCAAACCGGCCACCAGGCGCCCTTGCAGCAGCCAGCCCTGCCTTCCCTCGCTTGGTAAGCATGCCGCAGCCCCCCCCCCAAGGAAAGTGGGGTGAGAAGGAGGGCAGAGCAAAGGCTGCCCGTCTCTGCTGGGATGGGGAGTGCTCTTTGTAGCCAGTTCGGTATTCGGGAAAGGCAGAAAGACCCCCACCCCGTTTATCTTCTTCCTCCAAAGGGTCAGTATTAGTTGGAATTGCTCTCCTGCCACTGGTGGGGGGGGGCAGCCTCAAGCCTCTTCCCCCACCTCTTTTTCTGCCTTTTCCCTCCAGCAGATGTGACCTGCCGGGATAAGTATCCCAACTGTGCCGTCATTGTGCAAGCCCGTCTGTGTGTCTACTCGTACTACAAAGCTGCTTGTTGCGCTTCCTGCTCACACGCTCTGGAGAGGCGCCAGGCGGACCCAAGCCGGTAGCATCGGCGGACTCGGGCACAGGGTCTGCCTCCTGCCCCCTGCTGGAGTGGGGGAGAGGACGGAGAGGGGGGCGGGGAAGGGAGCACCAAGCCTGGGAGAGTGTGGCCCGCCAGCATTTGCGTCTCATAACGAAGCCACAATCTTTTGGGGAGGCAGACCCACAATCCCGCAGAAGCAGCCATGCACAGCCAAGCCTTTACACCGGTTCCTCTCCAGCAGTGGGGATGAGTGGGGCACGGACTTAGCCCATGGACCCTGGAGTTCTTCCTGGTTGTGGTGTATGGAGCTTCAGAGGATCCGGGGGCTTTGGGACCCCTCTCCAACCCTTCCTTCTCCCTGGAAAGGTGTGCCGTCTTGCGGCCTGGTCCCTCACCCACGGGGGGGCACCCCACGAGGCCAACGCCAGGCGCCGATTGGATCGTTGCTACTGGTTTTATCTCCTGGACACACCAAAGGCCTTTTGAACAAAGATTCAGGGGAAAAAAAGGACAAGAAAACAGGACTGTCCCGGGAACCGTTTCCTGAACTGGGCAAAATTTAATCTCTGGGAAGAAACATCTGCAGCTCTCCAGATGCAGAAACTGGGCATGAGGTTCGCCACAGCCTCCCCTTCCCACAGCAGCGTAAAAAAGATAGGGGGAAAAAAAAGAGGGTGGGTGGGTTTTGAAACGATTCAGGGGGTCTTTTCATGCTGCCTTGAAGGGGAGGGGCTGTGCTTTCTAAACCAGGGGTCTCCGAAGTTGGCCACTTGAAGACTCGTGGACTTCAACTCCCAGAATTCCCCAGCCAGCCAGCCAGTGGCTGGCTGGCTGGGGAATTCTGGGAGTTGAAGTCCACAAGCGGCCAAGTTCGGAGACCCCCGCTCTAAGCCAAAAAAAGGACATAAACGGTAGTATTTATCAAAGGAAAAGTCACAAAGAGGGGCTATGTTGTGTTACCTTTGCATCAGCCACAATGGATATTCCTCCTTTTTAGAACAGAAGCTGAATGTTCACCACCGAGTCCACTGGCTGAAGCCCCCTTTTCAGTCCAATGTGTTGCAACGTAAAGATGCAACAGCTGGACCGAACATCTGCCCATCCCACCTGGAAAATGAGAGGCTAAAGGGAGGGGGGGGGAATTTTTGTACCTTCCTGGACCTATACAGCGGTTCCTCCCCCTCCCCAATGGCTTTTAAAATCTAAGTAGTAAGAGCGAAGTCCCCACAAAGTGTTCAGATTTTATACATATATATATATATCTATAAATATATATTTTATATAGAGAGAAATGTCTACGATAAAACTGAATGTATGCCGATTAGTTTTGTCCATCCGTTTGGTCCCCTTTTTTTGTTTTTTGTTTTTGTCCAAATCTAATTTATTTTTTATTAAAGATGATTTGATTTTGACCAAGGCTGCTCGTGTCTTCACTTCACCCGCTTTAAGGAATTCATCTCATCTGCTGCAGGGACAATGGAGCTGCCCCAGCCAGGCGCACTCTACCTCGGCTCTCTGCAGAGAGCAGCCACCCCCGTCCCCGCGGTGCTCCCCCCCCCCCCACGACCCAATTCGGAGGATGCTTCAAATGCGCAAACGGCTCTTCCCAGCGCGCAAACTGCGCCCCTTTTTCAGCTGCGTCTCCCAAGTTTTTTGGGGGGTGGGTGGGTGGGTGGAATTAATGCACTTTTTTGGGGGGTGGGTGGAATTAATGCACTTCGAAGCGCATCTTGCATGGAGTTTCCCAGGGTTACGTGGGAACGGGGAGCGCCTCCCACCCGAGACGCGCGTCTCCCCGCAGCGCAAAGCCGACCTCTTCGCGCGCGCGTGCGCACAAGCGCCGCTCCGGGGAGGGGGGGAAGAGGCGCCGCCGGCGGCGCCGCGCATGCGCACCGCTCGGCCCTTCGGCTCAGGCACCGCCGTGGCCACCTCTCCTCCGCCTCGTCGCGCGGGGCCTCGCAGGATCCGGGGGCGCGACGAGCGGGACCCCCCCGCGGGGAGCGGCGACTCCCCCCCTCCCGGCCCCCACCCCCCCTTTGCCCCGCCCCGTCCTCTCCCCGCGAGGACCCTCAGGCGGCGCGCGGGCAGCCCCGGCTGGGCCCGGCAGAGGCGGCGGCGGCGGCGGCGCGGTGAGTGCGGCGGGGGGCGATGGGCTCTGGAGTCCGCCCGCCGGGGCGCCTGGTCCTCCGGCTGGGGGCAGAGGGGCGGGGGGAGGGGAGGGAGGTGGCATGGCCCCCCCCTCTGGAGCCTTGGCGGGGGAGGAGGCGCCTTCCCGCAGGGTGGTGGGGGTGGTGGTAGTGCGTGGGGCAGGGGATCATGGGGGGTGTAGTCCCACCAGCTGGAGAGCGCCTGCCTTTCTCTGCTCTTTGGCCCCCTCCGGCCCTTCTCTGCCCCCCCCGGGACCCCGAAAGGCGGGTGGGGGGCATCTGGAGCGGATACCCCCTCCCCAGAGCCCCCCCTTCTGCAAAGACCCCCCACTTTCACCCCCTTTCCCTCCCCCCCTGGCTTGGAAGCCTTTGCCCCCCCCGATCCCCCCAAGCCCCTCCCCCTCCCCANCCCCCTCCCCTCCGACCCCTTCGGGAGCTGCCCCCCCCTCGATCCCCCCCCGGGGCTCCAGGGCTGCAGGCGGGGGGGGGTGGGAGGGGGGAGTTGCAAAAGTCGCGGGGTCTGTTGCAAAATCGCTGCCCGCGGAAGAGGCGCCGCTTCCTCCCCCGGGGCAAGAGGCGGGGGGGCCCCGTTGCCCGGCCACCCGCAAGCCCATCGGCCACTTCCTGGCTTCCATGGGGCGCCCGGAGGGATGGGCAGGAGGCCCCTTGGTGGACCCCGGGCAAAAGGAGACCCTCCGGACCGACGTTGCTCAACTTGGCAGCTTTAAGCCGCCTGGACTACGACTCCCAGAAGCCCCCAGCAGCAAAGCGATGGGCTCTGGAGTCCGCCCTGGCGGCGCCGCTAATGCCCCGGCTTTGGGGAGAAAGGGGTGGGGGGTGGAGTCACCCCATTGGATCCTTGGAGGGGGAGCCCCCTCCCTGCAGGGTGGGGGTGCGTGGGGCAGGGCTGGGGAATTCTGGGAATTGAAGTCCACGCGTCTTAAAAGCAGGAAGCCGCAGTGTGGAGGGTGAATAAAACACCCCTGTTTTGAGGGGCTGCTCTGCGGAGCCCGGGGCGGGCGCTGCCATTCCCACCGTTGTCGCTTCTGCCAATCATTTTGCATTTCGTGCCAGGACGCCCTCTGAAATGTTGTGGCGTCTGAACTGCCACAAAGCCAGCTTGGGAGTGTGTTTAAAAGCAGCCTTAATTATAATCCTGGCTTATTTAGAAAGAGGCAGATTTGCTTCTGGGGTGGGGACGGCCCAGCCAAACAGGTGCAGGGAGCCAGCTTGCGAGGGGAGCGACGGGCTGGATCCAAAAGGGATCCCCCCACTTGCGTCACCTCGAGCGTGTCCGCTGCTTGCCCTGTGAAAAGCCCCCCGCCCCAGGGGGGGTGTTTCATCTTAAAGCGTGGAACCGGGTTGTGCGAATGCGGACCGTCTTCTTTGCCAAAGGGAAGCAATTCTTTTTTCCTTCCAAGTTGCGTGCGCCAAATGTCCTTCCAGGATTTCTGCTTTTCAAGAGGGATCTTGAGTTACAGGGCTCCTGCCAAAAGTTGGGGGGGGGATGGATGAGGCTGGAGGGAGGCTGGACAGCTGAGACCCCGTTTTCTCCTGACTGAGTCTCTCTTTTTTTCCTCTCCCCAGCAGCTGTGAAGAGTCATCCTGCCGAATCCCTTTTGTGAGTCTTCTCCCAAAAAAATGGCTGACCCAACCGGTGCCGTGGACGCGCGTCTGAACCAGGCAGCGGGGCCGAGAAGATAGAAATGAAACAGGCAAGTGACAGGTTTACAGCCTCCCGTGGATGCGGAGAGTTCCTAACACTTGACCCCTGCACTTTCAGAAAAGGGGCTTCTCCTTAAATTGGTTAACTAAGTTTAAAGTTGGCGGCCTCCCCTTGTGCCTCACCTGCCCCAAGTAGCAGCCAGCAGGAATCTCCACTTTGGCCTGGATCGGGCATCACCCTGGCACAGGGTTTTTCAGCAAGTCAGCTGAGTTTGTGGCCATGAATTGTGGTTTGCAAGCCACAGAGACAGGGCTGAGAGTGTGGTGGAGCCCAGCTCTTGCTAGCCACCTCTGAGGGACCCGTGTCACCCGCTGTCTCAGACAGGTGGGGTTCAAAGAAGAGTGCCCCCGCCTGTGGTGTGCCCAGCCAAGTGTGCTTTTCCCACACGCATGTTTGTGGGTGACGCAGGGGCCATGGGAGGACCCAGGCCGGTGTGAGTCAGCATGGCAGATCCTGTTCGGACTTGCCTCTCTCTCTCTGCCTGGGAAACGCAGCCAGTCTCATTTGTTTGTAAGCGGCCGTTTGTTCTTAAAAGAGAAAAATGTGTTTGTTGTGTTGTGTTCCACCAACTGCATTGTTAATCCGGGCTACAGCCCTGATCCTCTTCCCCCTCCCCCCCACCATCCCCAACCCGCTCTTGAAATGAGGGGGGTTTGACCCCCGGAGCAAGGAATCCTTTCCCCCATGGTGCACGGTGCAGCTTGATGACTGCTGCACGTTGGGTCTTTGGGGGTGGGGGTGAAAGGGGCGTACGTGAAATCTGCGAAGTGCTGAGTACGGGGAAAAGGCAGGCCCTGTAATGGGAACCAGATGTCTGCAGATGTCTGAGTGAGGGGGCGTCTGCGTAGGCCGGCGGTCTTCTCCTGCAACGTGGAATGAACTTGGGAGCGCTCCGAAAACAGCCTCGCTCTAAAACTCAGCAAGGTTTGTGAGTTAAAAATGGCTTAAAAAGAAAAGAAAAAAAAGACTGGAGGCACATGAAACTTTTTATTGATCATGTAGTGCGGTGGAACCTCCCTGTTTGGGAGCACTGTACCTGTCAGGAGGGTGGACACCCTTGCAGGACTGCACCTTGTCTGGAACGTGGAGCTGCAGAGTTCAGCTCCTTTGGGCCATTTATCTGTTTGTAAAATTGATTGGCTGCCCATCTTCCCACAGGGCAACTCTTTGGGGGGAAGGCACCCTGGGGTGGGAAGGGGGGGGTACACATAGGGGTCCCTGCCCCTGCCTTACATCCCAGTCCTTTGGAAAAGAGGCGCCTGCATTTTGGGGTTTTGGGGAAAATCCCAACAGGTGGATTGGTCTCGGGGACTGGATGGCACCTTCAAAACCTGGAAAAAGTCCCCCCCCCCGGTGGATTAAATAGATTTTCCTGTTTGTAAATAGATTAAATAGATTTTCCTGTTTTATTTCTTTGATTCGGTGCGTCTGTCAGGAGGCAACTTTGCCCTCCAATTAGCGGTCAGGCCCTTGCCTTTCCCACTGACCTTGTGATCTGCCGGCCGGCAGCTTCTCCTGCCGCCGTAAGTGGCGGTTGGCAGGAGGTGCCCCTTTCAGGAAAGAGCGGGATTAAACTGAGTTTAATCCCGGGATGGGGGGCCGCCCTGCTCCTCGCTCTCAAAGCCAAACCGGGGGTCTCAGAGGGACTAACCCAGGCTAGGCCTGGCTTGATCCCAGCACGCTCTGTTTTGCTTTCTCCCACCTGTCACCTGGGCCTTGGTGGAGCGTGGGAACCCGTCTTCAGGTTGGCCCAGTTTGGGCCTTGGGCAGAGGCTCAGGGCCGGCCTCCTCGGATGCGCTTAAGAGGATGATATTTTAATCACTTTAAATAGAGCATCTATTTTAACGGATGAGCTTTGCTCCGTGGAAGTGCAGCTCTGCCTTGTGTTTTAAATACAGGAAGAAGAAAAAAAAACAACCCTCCACTTTGAGGGTCTGGGAGAAGACCCAGCTTGGGGTGAAGGTCCCTGTTTTGGTAGAGTCCTGGGCAGTTAAGGCCTTCCCCTCTCCTTCTCCCACCTATTAGGGACCATGGAGACTCCCCTCTTTTTTTTTTTAACTCCTCCTCCTCCTGCTCCTCCAGATGCTGGCAGCCAAGGGTGATGCTTCTCAACCTCTGGATTCTGAATAGACAGTTGTCTAGCTTTGGGGGAAAAAAGGTGCATTCCAAGAGTTTTCTGGCTTCTAATTTTGAGCCAGTTGGGAGGAAAAGGAAATATGGGGGGGGGGGAATCCCTGACCTTGGGTCTCTTTCAGGATCCTCAGGAGTTGATGAGTGGCCACATCCATGCCCAGAGGTCGTAGGTGGCATCTGCAGGATGCCAAGATAGGAGCTTTCATGTGGGAACAAACTGTTCCCTCTTGGGGAGAAGGGGGCGGGCTCTCCGGATGACACCCTTCAGCTCTGGCCCATGGATCCGCCCTCTGGTGCTCTCAGGCCCCATCAAGGCAGGGCAGAGCTGAGTCTGTCCCACAGCCTGCTTCTTTCCAAGACTGAGGAATTCTGGGAGTTGAAGTCCACAGGTCTTACAGTTTGGAGACCCCTCCTTTAGGGCAGTCTTGTGATAGACACACCGGTCACCAAGAGGAAGTTAAAATTTTGGCGTTTTGCCATTCTTCCTTCCCAGTTGTTGTTGTTGTTGTTGTTGTTGTTGTTGTTGTTGTTGTTCTTCTTCTTCTTCTTCTTCTTCTTCTTCTTCTTCTTCTTCTTCTTCTTCTTCTTCTTCTTCTTCTTCTTCTTCTTCTTCTTCCTCCTCCTCCTCCTCCTCCTCCTCCTCATTATTATCATCATCATCTTCTTCTTCTACTTCTACTTCTTCTTCTTCCTCCTCCTCCTCTTCCTCCTCCTCCTCATTATTATTATTATTATTATTATTATTATTATTATTATTATTATTATTATTATTATTATTATTATTATTATTATTATTATTATAAATGATCAGTTTGAAGAGTCAGCCCCCAAAGGCAGTGGCTGACCCTCCATGTGGGTGTCCTGAGAAATCAGGAAAGACGGCAGCCACGCCTGACTCTGGGTGGTCAAAGTGGGTTTTGGTCTTGGTTTCGGGCCCTTAAAAGAGTCCACCTTCCCCTGTTTTCCAGCTGTGAAAGAGGACAGGCCCACCGTGGACATGAGTCACTCGGCCGCAGACACCCCCCCGCCAGAGGAGACGCCAGCGGAGGCCTCGACCACCGTGCCCCCCCAGGGAGAGGACGGGACGGCCCTGGGGGTCATCACGGAAGGGGTGGGCGAGCTGGCTGTCATCGACCCCGAGGTGGCCCAGAAGGCCTGCGAGGAAGTTCTGGAGAAGGTCAAGTCCATGCACTGCGTCTCCCCGGACGGTTCCATCCGCCTCAAGGACAGGAAGGCCGGCGGCCGCCGGCCGGGCCTGAACGGCGAGTGCTGCGAGATCAAGTGTCTGGACGACCCGCCCGACAAGATCTGGGAGGAGGACGAGCACCCCCCAAACTCGGTGAAGGGGGTCCGCCGGCGCCAGAAGAACAACTCGGCCAAGCAGTCCTGGCTGCTGCGCCTCTTCGAGTCCAAGCTCTTCGACATCTCCATGGCCATCTCCTACCTCTACAACTCCAAGGAGCCCGGCGTGCAGGCCTACATCGGCAACCGCCTCTTCTGCTTCCGCAACGAGGACGTGGACTTCTACCTGCCCCAGCTGCTCAACATGTACATCCACATGGACGAGGACGTGGGCGACGCCATCAAGCCCTACATCGTGCACCGCTGCCGGCAGAGCATCAACTTCTCGCTGCAGTGCGCCCTCCTGCTGGGCGCCTACTCCTCCGACATGCACATCTCCACCCAGCGCCACTCGCGCGGCACCAAGCTGCGCAAGCTGATCCTCTCCGACGAGCTCAAGCCGGCCCCCCGCAGGAGGGAGCTGCCCCCCCTGGTCCCGGCCCCCGAGGCCGGGCTGTCCCCCACCAAGCGGACTCACCAGCGCTCCAAGTCGGACGCCACCGCCAGCATCAGCCTGGGCAGCAACCTGAAGCGCACGGCCAGCAACCCCAAGGTGGAAAACGACGATGAGGTGAGCCCCTCCCTGCCCTCCCCTCCCCTCCCAGGCCAGGCTGGGCTTCCTTCGCAGGCGGGGTGGGGGGAGGACCCCTGGTGTGGCCAGGGAGCTGGGGGGGGCTTTCCTTCTCTGCCGAGGGGGATTTGCGGTGGGAATCGGTCACGGAGGCTGTGTGTCGCTTTACTGGGCTGCAGTTGGGACAGGCCCAACGGGTGCATTGATGTGTGTGTGTGTCAACTCCCTTTTCTGGTCTTTCCTGCTTTGCTCATCCTGTGGCCGGAGAGTGTTGTGGGTGTTGTGGGTGGGCTCAGGCGTTGCGGAGAGGGTGTGCTTGCGCCACTCCAAAGGGAGGCTGTGGGTCCTCTGACTTCCTGTGTGTCTGAAGTCCACATTAAGTTGGGCGCTGTCTGTGACGTCGTTTTCTTGCCACTGTTGGCAGTCTGGAAGGAAAATCCTGACCCTTGGTCACTTCCGTGTGGTTCTCAGCAGCAAGCACAGTCACCTTAATTTCACACGTAAAGAAAAACAATCAGGTAACATTTGTCAGAAAGGAAAAGCTGGCGGGTGCGCTGGGCATTTTCCTGGCTCCTGGAGCGCCCACCTTGGCCTTGGGTCCCCCCCTGAGAGAGCTGGAGAAACGGCCCGGAGGGGAGTAGGATTCCAGAAGGGAGGGCTCCGTCCTCTGATGCGCGTGGCAGGCTTCAGCCGACTCTCCCCGGGGCCTCCGCACCCTCCCTGTTGAACTCCCGGCCAGTTCATTGTTGGCCGGGGCACAATGGGCCGATAGAGAACCGGATGCCGGGAGGCTGCTGGGTGCCAACTGGGAGCTGGCGCGCCTGTTCATGATGGACACCGAGCTCCATTCAGCCCAGGCGGTCTTGGCACCCCGTCCGAGGCCTGGCCCCTGTGCCCGCCCGCGGCTGCCGCTCTCCGGCCACCCAGGGGATCCGAAAGGCTGGCCAAAATCCGTTGTGGCCTTTCGGCTTTCTTGAGGCCGTTCCGGGACCCTCTCCGTAGCCGAGAAGGGAAAGGATGAAAAGCCAAAAAAAAGAAAACTTTTAAAAAAAATGTTGGTTCTCTTTCTCTCTCCTCTTCTGATCACCAGCCAGCTTGTTGCTCAGAACAGCCCTGTAAGGTAGGCCAGGCGGAGAGACAAATGCTTGTTAAATTTGAACCGTGTCTCAAAATCTGATCCAAGGTTGCTTTTGGGTCCTTCGTGGTCCTCTTTGGGGGGGCCCCCCAGGCACCCCTCGAAAGCCGAGCACCAGGAGGGAGACGTCAGGGGGGGGCTCATCAAACCCAGCTCCTTTCCCACTCCTGGGAAAAATGGTGCCCGGCCCCTCCCCTCCCCTGTCACACCCACAGGTGCCCTTTGGCAGCGAAAGCAACCGAGGGAGGCTGAGTCAGAGGGAGCCCTGGGGGGGGAGAGGGCGTCTGCCCCACCCCAGCCATTTCCTGCTTGCTTGGAGGGCAGCGGCGTCTGTCCCCGAGGGATGGGTGAGAGGGCAGCCTCAGGAGGGCAGCCTGGGCATCGTGCTGAGCCAGCTGGGGACGATGGGGTTTGGAATCCTGCCCATCTGGCAGTTGCCCGGAGGGTTAGGTGGTTTTCATGAGAATTGGTCATAGGAGAATGAGAGATAAATAATAAGAAAAGTAAAAGAGAAAATAGGTTTGGTGAATCTCCTTTCCTTCCTTCCTTCCTTCCTTCCATCCATCCATCCATCCATCCATCCATCCATCCATCCATCTTCCTACCTCCCTTTTTTTATTCTTTGTTTTGATCCTTGCCCCCTTTCCAGCATCTCTGGCGTCTCCCGTCTGACCCCCTGGGTTGGGGTCCGGGCTGCCTCAGGAGAGGGGAAGCCCCCACCTCCTCTGGGGGGGCCAACCCCGGGTGGGGGGGGCATCTGGTGAGCCCCTGGGCTGCTTTCCTCACCTGTCAGGTTGTGGCTCAACCGAAAATGTGGCACTTTGGAGGAAGTGTTGCAACTGCTTTCCGCAAGGCCCCAGTGCTCCTGGGGGGGGGCAAGGAGGGTGTGTGTGTGTGTGTGTGAATGCAGAAACCAGCAGGGGGGGAGGGGGGAGGCAGGGCCGTTCCAGGGGGGGACCAGCCTGTGATGTTCCTTCCTGGGACTTTGTCGGCCAACTTTGCAGTGGGGTGTGTGTGTGTGTTTGTTTGGATGCTGCTTCACAAAGGCCAGTGGGTGCTGCTCTGTTATTTCCACTCTTCCCTGCCCCCTCCCCCCCCCCGTGGATCTCCTGGTGGTCTCCCATTGAAAGCTTGCTTTGTTTAAGACCAGCCAAGGCCACCCGCAGCCAGTCCTTCCTCCTACTTGGCAGCTTGCAGCGAAGTTTGGCATCTCTCTCCCCCTTGAAGCAGGGACCCCGTTGCCCCCCACCCCTGCCCCACGGCTCCCAGGCCTCCTGCTTCTGCCTGCCTCCCGGACGGAGAGCCGAGAAGGTTGGGGAAGGGCCCCTAATTCAAGATCTCCTTTCCTGGCCCTCCGTCGGGCTCCGAGAGCTGGTGGAGCTTCCCCGTCCAGGGGC